ACAAGTGCAGTTATCACACAAGTTTGTATGGCAAGGTTAAACTGGGGTGTTTGTAATATTCACTTCACATAACAGCAAAGCCAATTAAGTTGTATAAGCAAGTAACAGCTGGGGTAATCAATACGTGCTGTTAGTACAATGGTTCACAGGCAAATGCAATCCTGGAGTCTGTATCCTGGCTGTAGAGGCTAGTATAGCAGTAGTGTTGTGATGTGACGCACAAGAAGTCCCAGTAGGATCAGGAAGGTATATAGGCTCAGGAGAGTCCCCTGGGGACAGCCTATCATTCAGGATGGAGAGCGGGTCTGCAGGGAGCTTTGTCCGGCATCCGCACTCATTGCAGGAACACAAGACAAGTGAACCCTTGCTGCTTAAGCTGAGGAGGAGGGTGGAGCGGCGTGATGTCGACAGACCGGGGGCAGAGCTACCCTCCGTGTCCGAGATGCTGGAGAGGTAAGTATAGCAGATCTATTACACTAGTACACTTTCCAGGTCATCATTTCTTCTTACACTGTAGAAGGGATTAAGCCTTTAGAAGCTTAACAAAACAGTGCTGTAGTGTGAGCAACAGCAGGCCTTGTCAAAATGTACACGTATGCATAGTACACTTGCACATCATGGCTGACTTACCTCTGAGTTTGCCCTCCTCCAGTTCTGAAATCTACACGATCCATGTTGCCAAACCATCCTCTGCTGCCATGTCTTCCAACACTTATTCTGATCTGACGTCTTTACTCTTGGACCACTGGGTGGCTTCTTACTGATGCCTAGAGTGCACAATGCACTATGCATGCACTACAGGTAAAAAATAACTTGCTACGAAAAAGGAGGAAGAGGTTTTGGCTGAAGAAACATAGAAAGTCTCTTCTGCCAAAAAACTCTGCCTTCTTGCAGATACACTTTAAACACCTTGTGCACTAATATATTTCAGGATGCCATAGATTACTAAGGGTGGAATTCTGAGCTCTACCATTATATCAGTAAAGGTACATTATGAGGAAACACTTTTGTTTCAATTTAGAAAAAAAAAAAAAAAATTACAATTTTTTAACTTAAATGTTATCTATTTTTATTATATTTGTATACTTTTTTTTTTTACAAATACATTGTTCGAGCATGACAAAGAATTCATAAAGAAACTATGATTTACCTATAGAGATAGTACACAAAACAAAGCTTGTTTTTCAGCATTCTTTGTTATATTACAACCTCCTAAGGTTCCCTCTTATAAGGGATGAGCCATTGCTGTAAGTTCGGTAAGGGGCTTTTTAGTAGCTAAATATGTGAAAAGGAGACCCGAACTCCATTTGCTTGCTGGATGACCAGTGAGATAGTAAGTTTAAAGTGTATGTCTGAGAAAAAAAAATCAATACATCTCTGCAATACATGAACATTTCCCAGAGTTTTATCCTTTTAAAAACACTTCAGCTGCAGAAAATACCTGTTGATCATGACAGAAATTCAGTGTGCTCCCAACTTCCGGTCTGAACTGAAAACATCAGCCTTGTCTGATATCTCCTCTGCTGTACTATACAGTAGAACACATCTCCTTCTGTTTATCTGAATGAAATAAATAGTAGATATTCTGTAGTCCAAAAAGGAAGGCAAGGCTAGGCAGAACTGATAACACTTCTTGGGATGTCAATGCCGCAGAGTTAGCATTGTCAGCTCAAACAGGATTTTAGGATCTCACTTTATTTTGGGCAGATCAACAGGCATTTTTATGTACTTGGATTGTTTGTACACAATGGGGAAATATGCATGTGTCGAGGTGTACTCAATATTTTGTTTTTATATTTTTCCTGGACATACAGCTAACAATTGATGTCTCACTGGTAAATTCGCACTAATCTTCCAAAACCCAGGTTCTGCTGACTGAAGAATTACCAGTAAAAAGTTTTTTTTTTTAGATAAGACATGTACAACGATAGGAAGGTACAATGAGAACACCATGCATTAATATAGAACTATGTGATATTTCTGCCGTATTTGGCTAATGAGAATACTGAGAAGCGAACTAAGCAAAGTTCGGTTCACTAACGTTTGCCAAACATTTGAAAAAGTCTGCAAACCTCCAACATAAATAACCGAACCCATTGAAGACTATGAGAGCTGAATCTTGTAACTTTTGGGGCCATTTTTCAAGGCCAATTTGCAAGCTTTTGTTAAATAATGAAATGGGTGGTAGCTACAAACTGCTATGGGGGACATGTATCAAGGTCTAAGGTTAAAACTCTTGTTTTCCAACTTTAAATTGTGCCACGTGTCTTCATCAGGTACTTAAACAGTTTATTACAATTACTATAATAATTATGATTGTATTCCCTCTTAATACATAGATTCAATAGATTGAATAGGTGCAATCTATGTAATAATCCCTCATACCTGAGGTCCTCCCGTCCTCTTATTAATGTTGTCCTTCACTAAACTCTTTCTAATTCAAGAACATATTTCATGAGGATTGGTGACCAAAACTGAACTGAATATTCAAAATGAGGCTGTACCAGTGTTTTGTAAAATGGTAGAATTATTGATTTATCCCTTGAATATGTGCCCTTTCTAATGCATGAGAGTATTTTGGCTATCTTTGTTAGCTGCAGCTTGAAACTACATGTCATTGCTGAGTCTGATCTACAAGCACCCCCAGATCTTTTTTCATTACTCATTTTTCCAGCAGAGCCCCTCTTAATGTGTATTTTGTGTATTTTGCATGCATATTTTTGGTATCCAAGTGCATAACCTTACATTATTCAAATTTGAATCTCATCTGCAATGCAACTGGCCAAACCCCTATTTTATCAAGGTATTCCTGTAGCTTTGCTGCATCAGCAATGGTTTGTCCAGACCAAAAGCAAAAGAAACAGCAACACAGGTAGGGTTGGCACCTTTCCTAGAAAAAAAAAAAGCCTAAAAGGAGTATAGGTTTTTGTCTATGTGTTGGCCTTTATAAAATTGGTTTTGCGTGTAAATATGGATTGAATGCTTGTTTTCTCCCACAGACTTTCTGCCCACTGGATGACCAGTCTCATGAAGCCTCTACTCTTCACCAGGCCCTAGGCTGCCCCCTTGCTGACACTGTCACATTCAATGCAGCTCCAGCGGTTGTGCATTTTATGTGAGGAACCACATTCCAAGAGTGAAGGAGAGTGCCAGCTGTTGGAGGGAGCGTGGAATATGGTAAGTATTTCTGTACTTTACACCCCCGCACACCAAAACATGCATTTTATCCTTACTACTGGGGAGTAAGAAGCTACACAATACTTATTTCAAAAGGCTGACTGGAGTTCAGCCCTGAGGACCCATTCCCACACTAGTCATAAATACAACTAAAGGGAGCTCTAATAAAAAAGTCAAATAAAAATAAACATAATTAAAGCAGGGAATAAAGAAAACAGGAAATGCAAGTTGATCAATACAGTGTTCTAAATAAAGGGTGAGGTAGCTAAAAATACTGAGCTCCAGCAGTATAAAGAAATAATAAGATGAGGTCTCCTCTAAAGATAACATGGCCTGGAAACATGGAAACATGGAATCCTCTTGGGCCTCCAGCCCCTCCTTTCAATCTCAGTAATAAATGCTCCTGTGAGTTCGGATGAACTTTTAAATTACAGCAGTTTTACTGTCACAGACTGCATCTCAGTGATCATACAGCAAGGGAGATGCTGTCAGCTGGCACTAACCGCGACGCCATTTTTTTATGAAAGGGACTGCTTTCTTCTTCTGCAGCATGAAAGTGAGGGGGGGGGGTCCTTCCACACTCCACACATAACAGGATCCAGGACTCTGACAGGCAGCCCACTCAAAGGCCCATATGTTCTCATTGGCTGGGAGCTTATCAAACTCCTCAGCAAATTACTGGCCCCTAGAAAGGCTGGTAATTTTTTTTTTTTTACTAGTCTCAAGTTCTATAGTGATGTTACCGGCCTGGCTGGTGAAATACCATTAGAGTGGTAACCAAAACACAGATACAAAATAAAGTGATTTTTTTTCCAGTAGAATAAGGGGAAACTAGAACCCTGGTCACTTTTCTATTGCTGTCTGTGGGTCTGAGATAAAATTTCCCTCTGGTAAAAATGTTGTCATCATGAGCAGGAGTGAAGGAATGGGAAATATCTATACCGGTTCACATTATTGCAGTATGGACCTGACAGGGGTTATAATCCTTCCCCACTGGAACTGTTCCCAAATAAAGGAAGGCATAGGTTAAAGGACTAGTCACCAAATTGCCCGTGGCCGGCTGATATTTCCCCATTAAATGACCTACCATGCATTGTCCTGAACCGTGCCTCTCTGTGTAGCGGTGGCCATCTTGGCAGGGGTTTACCTTCTCAGGTCAGAGCTTCCAGCAAGGAGAACAGTGAGCAGCACAACAGCAACTTCATCAAATCTTCTGAGACTAGCAGTAGCAGTAGGCAGCAGATTCTTAGATTTACCCTGCAGTTAAACAGTTATGAGGCTGTAGGCAGAGGAATGCCTAGGCACACACATATCGGGAAGTGCACTGCTATATTTCTAGAAGAATTTCAGACAAAAGGCATATTTTTCAGGGTACAGCTTAGACACATTACATTGCTAAATGGTTCAAAAAACATAGCAAATCTTTACTTTTTTAGGTTTACTTTAATACTGTGGCCAGTTCTAGAATTATGCTGTACAAGGCAGCTGCCTACATTTCTCTACGGCGCAAGAGTATGCAGTCAGCTCAGTACACATATTACCATCCTATACAGCTTTTCAACCAAGGTCAAGATAATTTTGTAGTCATTAATTAAACAAAGAAAACCTTATTAACTAATTCTGATGAAAGGACCAGAACTCCAGTGGGAAATTTCACTGTTGGAGTACCAAAGAGATATAAACAGTCACCAAACTCTGAAACACACCAGCACCCACCACTTACTAAAAAAACATTTTTACATAGACTCCACAATAGCTCCCCTCTATACGTATGCTGGACATTAGTTTATATCTAAAAAGATGAATAGTAAAACCATTCTTACCCTCTGACTGCATGGAGGAGACGTAGGGAAGGGTAGGCTGTGTGCACATTTATATGATGTTTAATTATAAGGTCGTTCACCCATTCTACTCGTTCTTCACCCCCTTTGGCCATAAATGCTGGGATCCACAGGATGCTTTCATTCAAGCTTTTCAGGCGCTGCATAAACTTCTCTTTCCAGGTATCATTGACAAGGTCCTCAAAGGCACGCTGGACAACTGAAGGGTTCATGGTTACAAGATGTGTCTTTGTGCCAACGTCCTTGGCATATTCTTCAACAGGTGCAAGATTACATCTATGAAAAAAAGTGCACAATATTAGTCATATGTAAGCAGTGATAGTTATGGAGTAACCTACACAAAGACCTAAATTATATGGATATAGGTAATAAAGTGATTTTTTAAAATGCATTGTTCTTACGGTACAACATTTACCTGATAACTCTCAACAGATGCTGGCAGAGCTACCATGGGTTGAGGGAGTAAACCACCCCAAAGCACCCAAGAGTGAATATAGCATAGGCTGCAAACCCCCACCTTGCATACCCAAGGAGGATCTGATGTCCTCCTCCCAATGAAAGACTCTGTACCTCAGAATGTCATATGTTCCAGCATAGTATATGATATTGCATTGTTGTAGGAGCAAAGTGATTTTACTTGGCCCAACAAATCCATAAACACTCTTGGTAAAAGTTGACAAACACTTTATAGTGTCATATGATAGAGCAATCTAAAACAATGATAACTTCGACAAACAGTTAAATAAAAAACTGTATTTGATCTTCTAAAAATGTAAGTTATTGCACTTGGGTCCTAGAAATAGCATTTCCTCATATACAGTAAATGGAATATAGTTAAGGAAAACAAAGCTAAAGAAAGACTGCATCAACAGTAAGCTAAGAAGCAGTTATAAATGCCAAAAAAGTAGCTGTAAAAGCACATGAAATCTTGGGATGTATAAAAATATCATGAATATCATCATATGGAGATCCAGACGTATGATGCAGGCATAGTATTTACCCTGTATAAACCAATTGGATGTCACACTTTAATACGAAGTACAGTTTTGAACACTGCATAGTGGATTTTCAAAGGTAGGCTGTTAGGTTAGTGAAAGGCATGGGAAGCCTTACTTACAGTAAAGGGGCTAGTAAAATACAGATGGACTTTGGAAAAAAGACAACTAAGAGGTCATTTTCAGTAAAAACATATTCAAGGACTATATAGAGATTAACTTTTACTATCAACATAGGAAAAGTTACTTTATGGCAATTATGGTTAAAGCCCAATTCCATGTTTGGTCAAAAAATAAATAGAAGGATCCCCCACAGTTCCTAGAAATGGTGGTGCTGTTCTCAAAAGAATTTAGTATCCATCCTTAGCCAGAGGAAGAAGATGGTGATGAGTGTTGTCACTGGACCAGAACAAATTAAACAAATGGCAAGCACACTCATCAATTTATAACTAGCTTTAGTAAGGCACTAATGGAAGGGCTTTACATAGTACAAAAGCAAACATTTCCCAGCAAACTTACCAGCTAGCCTGCTTTTGTACTGTGTAAAGCCCTTCCATGTGCACCTTACTTTAAAACTAGTTATGAATTGATGCTTGCCATTTGTTTCACTTGTTGAATTTGGTGTGGGGACACACTGGGGGCTTCAGCTGCCATTGTGATGTGCTGGCCTTCTGGTGTGTCCCCATGCCTTTAGGGAGGATTGAACTGCCTGGCAAACCTGCACCCAATTCGTCCTTTGCTATTTATTCTCCAAGATGGAGGCACTCATAGATTAGAGTTAGAACCACACTACACAGAGGGATCATGACAAAGCAGTGTGGCTTCCATGTATTTTGCAAAAGCTGTGCAACTAAAACCTCTGTTTTAATCCTAATAGTTAGACAGTGTAATTTTTTTTTTGCAGGCTATCTGGTAAGTGTGCTGAGAAATTTGAGCTTTTGGACCAAAACAAAGACACCTAACAAAAAAGGTATGTGCATAGATTTTTTTATTCCTAAAGGGTGCCAGGGGTGCTCTGAGGAGGTTTGGTGCTGAATGCCACTTGAAGTATAAATGGTAGTATCCAGGAAATTGCAACAATTTTCTTTGTGTTGTCAGAAATACATGTGTATCCCTCTGTGAGCCATATCCCCCCACAGTTGCCTAGAAGGGTTTCTTTTATATTCCTGTGGACAAAAACTGCTAGACTTTATAAGATAGTGAAATTAATGGTCGTGTGTCTATTTTCTAACTAGGTTAACCATGTAACTATAATTCAGAAAATGTGTTTGATTCAGACTAGATATTGTTGAGCTACTATACATCTATTCTTCAAACAGCTTATAATGTAATTTTGATGCCTGAGGCACCAAGATATTAATGACGTGTCCAAAGTCACAAAGAGGAGACACAGGGATCAAACTAGGCTCGCCTACTCCGTTATTAATCAAATGAGCTGTTCTCTCCTCACATCAATGCAAATAGAATGTTATTTGAATTTAGATTTCCTTTAATAGGGATCTTTGCAATCACAATGCTAATGCTTGATGACTTTGAAGACAGTCTCTACTTGTACAGTGATTCATTGGGCTTTGTACTCTGTATTACAATCTACTTTATAATCCTTCTTTGAGTTCTTCATACCTGTTGAGCCTATGGGTTTAGAAACTGATATCAGATGGTATAGGAGAAAGGGTGCTCAATAGCTCTGCATGAGTACAACCACAATTTCTTAAAAATCTAAGCCAAGTGTTGATAACACGGGACTTTTGCAAACAGGTTTTCTGACATTTCTAAAATTTTCCTTTTTAAGGTTTTCGTTACAACACTATTTCCTCAATTTATTTTAGTTTTCGCTCCAGTAAAATGAGTATTCTTTCCTGGATGCACCTGCTACAGTAAGGACTAAACTACCCTAAATGATGTATCGTATCTCCTCCCTTTTGGTCTGTTAAATACATATTTTTAAAAGTGTTTTGTCATATCTGTTAGATAAGTTAAAACAATGCTTGTCGATCCTGCCAGAAATCCAATGAGCTTGTAGCTTTTTGGGACTCTGCAGTGTTAACTCAAGTGACATTATCATCACTGCCAAGTTCACCTTTTTCTAAAAGAACCTTATAAAGCACCGGTAAGTTCAGTTTTGTCTGAATGTCCTTCTACATTACACATTAACTCCAGTAGCATCATTACTGGGATTGCTAATACTGCTAGTGTGATTTTCTATAATATTAACAGAAATGAAGAAGCCAATGCCATGCCATGACAAAACACAAAAAGTTTAATCAGACATTATCTTTCTTTAAGTCTTAGAGGAATATCCCCACCAGCTATCATCACCAAAATTCCACTCAACTGTCATGGTCATTATTATAAATTCATCAAATAATAACTGAAGAGTCAAACTCCAAAGAGTAGGGGGTGCAGACATAAACTTCTGCAGAGATATTTTAGTCTCTTAGAGATATTCTGTATTGAGCCAAAAGGAAAATCAAACCGCTAGTACACAATTGAAATTACAATTTTGGGTACAGTTCACCTTTAGGATGGGGTATTGGGTTTTGCTTGACAGTGAATGGGATGAGCTGTCCTCATCATCTGATACACTCAAGATAGTCTATCTATTGTACTGTTAATCAACTATACAGTAGCAGACTTCACAACCTGTATTTCCACCCTGATGTTACATCTTGAATAAACTACACAGAAAACAGTAAATATAATAAAGGAAACATTGGATTTCCAGATTGAAATAAAGTATAGAGTTAGGCATGGCTTTAACAGGTCACCCAACCTCTCCTACTATAGTTTGTTTTTGTTTTTTCGAAGCTGGAAGCCAAAGTCCAACTTCTAAGCCATAGCCCACATAGAAGACTTCCAATAACACCACTCCTTAAACCTTGTCTCCGTTGTGTTATGTGACTTGCAACTCTCATTGTTAATTTACTCCCTTTGAACAACACAGCTGCTGAGCTTTTAAGTCTATATTATAGCACTCTATAAGGCATCATTCTGTTGTATTCTTTTCTTTTTGCATTCTGTTCTGTTGTTGTATGGCTGTGCATGTCTGCATTCAGACATGCACAGCCATACAACATGCATGCCTGCACAGAAACCTGCACCTGGGAATGCTGGCTGGTGCATGCAGCCGCCTGTACAACTGAATCACAGGATGCCACTGCATGCTGCTAAATGCTGACCTTAACTTGTACATCTGTACAGGTATGGATGCATGCCCTTGAATTCAAGCAGTCTATGTCATACTGTATGGCTGTGCACATTTTTTTGAATTGGACATTAGGGGTTCTGCCTTTATTAACACTTTTGACCAGGAAGGTCATAAGTATGAAGGTATGTAATCAGTGACTAACAGGCCACTGATCACATCCATTCAGAGACACTGCATGGTGCCACTGCTCTTCTGCTGCACGCCAACTGCTGATGTCTGTGTACATTACTGGCAATAAGACTGGCATCCTCTTTTTTTGCCAATCTCATTGCAGGCTATTTAGCATTAAGAGCAATAAGATTTTTTAGGATGGAGTATAGTGAGATTGGTGAACAGGTCTCTTATGTTCATTGATCTTCTGCAACTGAATTTAAAAGTGCTTAGTCATGAGTGCCAAAAGAAAATAGGACCGGGGATTCTCAGTGCTTGGTTTCTTTCTCCAGCAGAATGATGAGACAGGGTTCTTTTAGATCCCCGATATCATAATTAAGAAGACCCATCTTTGCCTACAAAAGACAATACTACAAAACAAAAACACTCAATACACACATAATGTACACATGCATAACATTATGACATACAGTATATGTATGCACTAGACACCTACCAAACAAATTACCTAATTAGAGGTTTAAAATACAATATATTATTGCCTTCATTTAACTAAAATGTTAAATAAGGAAAGTAGCGAAAAATATATTTTGGTTTGCAGTTTTGCTCATCTTTTAAATTTAAAAACTATTTGTTATTTTATTAACTGTAAATATGCTAGAATTAGTAGACATTTTGAAGATTGTGTTATGTTTGTGTGCACATCCATAGCACAGCTTGTGATTTATGCTTAGTGGCAATATAAAATGAAATAGTTAAGTAACATTTTTCTGCCTTTGGAACTGCACTTGTCAGTTCCAGTTCATACAATGAAAATACTAGCTTATAAGAGTACAAATATTATATTGGCACTTTATCAGTTTCTTTTTATTTAAAACCATTTGCTGACAAGTTGTGAATTGCAGAGTCATGATTACATAAAAGAACAAGTTTCCCATAAATAAAAAATGTTTTCATAACAATTAAATTTCTAGCAATAACTGAATGCTTGTGCCAAGGCAGAATGATGGTGCCAAGGCAACCGATTACAAAAGTACTACTTAATTAGTAGTGAGTAGATTGCTGTATAAATATTGAATTGATTTTATAGCATATGCTTCTGGAACAAAAAGGGTTTTTATCTCCTTTAATTACACAATCACATTCCATGTCCTGCTGCTTCCTTACTAGTAAAGGTGATGAGCTAGTCTACCCACCAAAATGTGTATTACTAAGACTGGTACTTTTGGATGCTGAGGAGCAAAAATATAAGGATGTATTTATATCTTAAAGGGCACTTATTAAACACCACAATATGGCTGATATTAACTTTCCTAGACAGAAAGGCCACCATTGTACCCTTCTCTGATTTAGTTTCACTTAGTTACCAGAAGTGACCAGTAGTGAGTAGATTGCTGTATAAATATTGAATTGAAGTGATTTTATAGCATATGCTTCTGGAACAAAAAGGGTTTTTATCTCCTTTAATTACACAATCACATTTCATGTCCTGCTGCTTCCTTACTAGTAAAGGTGATGAGCTAGTCTACCCACCAAAATGTGTATTACTAAGACTGGTAGTTTTGGATGCTGAGGAGCAAAAATATAAGGATGTATTTATATCTTAAAGGGCACTTATTTAACACCACAATATGGCTGATATTAACTTTCCTAGACAGAAATGCCATTGTTGTACCCTTCTCTGATTTAGTTTCACTTAGTTACCAGAAGTGACCAGTAGTGAGTAGATTGCTGTATAAATATTGAATTGAAGTGATTTTATAGCATATGCTTCTGGAACAAAAAGGATTTTTATCTCCTTTAATTACACAATTACATTTCATGTCCTGCTGCTTCCTTACTAGTAAAGGTGATGAGCTAGTCTACACCCCAAAATGTGTATACATAAGACTGGTACTTTTGGATGCTGAGGAGCAAAACTATACAGGAGGTATTTATATCTTAAATGGCACTTATTTAACACCACAATATGGCTGATATTACCTTTACTAGACAGAAATGCCACCATTGTACCCTTCTCTGATTTAGTTTCACTTAGTTACCAGAACCTGGCTTTCCCTAACTTGATGGCTAAGATTTGCCTTCTTCCAGCTTCCTGCCAAATGAGATTGCCTTAGTGGCTAGTAAAGACACCCTGTTTGCATGGGGGCAAGGCATTTGGGGAATGTTAGCCATGAAGTCATGGAACATCAGGTCACTCTAACAAAGTAGAAATTGATCACAGAGGGGAACAGAAGAGGCTTTGCGAGCTACTAAAGTTTATAGCAGACTTGAAGTTGAGTAGCGCACACATTAAAAAGACCCTCGTCAGCAGACCATCCAATCGTTTTCCATAATCTTCCCACAAGATTATATGTGCATTTAATATATTTTAGGCGTGTTAGTTACCACTAATGCCTCCCTTGTATCGATATACAAAAGTCCTGAGACCTCTGTTGGGTGCCGCCATCTTGCATTTGTTGTCAACATACAAAACAGATTCAGAGCTGTCACTCAAGTGACACTCTGTAGTATTCCCCTTCACTCCACTCCCTGCTGCTACATTAAAGGTTATGTAGGGAACTGAAGGGAGGGGCATAAGAGCTGAGCCAGCACAGAAAGTAATCAGACACCCCCAGAAGCGAGGGCTATGACTTGCAAGAAAAGTGGGGGCTGTGGTAGTGAATTTACTATTCTGAAGAAGTAAAAAATGCGAGTTCAGAGTCACACAAGTCAATAAAAAAATATTTTTGTAGAGGAAAAATGCTGTAAGAGAGCATTCAAAAAAACTTTATTTTACCTGCAAAGTTGGTTATAGGGTTTCTTTGGTAATAGTCAAGGGATGTGTTGTTTATCTGGGTTTGTTATTATAAATCCACCTCTCACCTCTGTGTGTCTGGTATCAGAGGAGGTAAGGTTCGACGAAACTTGGAGAGGCCTATCCATAATAATAGTATACTTGGAGAGGTTTCAAATTCTCCATGATAGAAGCTGGACTCCACAAACACCTTACCACACAAAAGAATGATGTCTAGAGGACCCCTCATGAAAACAGACAACATGCACAGCAATGTGATATTGTGATGGCAATGTGGCCTTGTAGCTCCAATCCTGTTTACCTTCATGTCTTTATTGCACTGTTCATTATCTGGATTAAGACTTCTAAACAGCGCCTTGACAAAAGCTGGGAAAAGGAGGGGACCATAGAACTTAGAAGTATTTTCACATTTCATTTAAATATACAATACATTGTGACTTGCAGTGTTACCTTATGACAAAGTCATGGGAGTCAATCTCTTTTCCACAGCCACTGTTGAGTAAAATTCCCGAGTTTCCAACAATAGCGCATGTTTTAAAGTGTTTGTTTTTCAGAGGGGAAGTTCTAGGTAAAAGTTCATACAAGTTCTTGGATATATTCATGGTGCTGTCTCGATCAAAGATATAATGGATTATATCACCTGGCTTTAAAGTTCCCTTCAGAACCGAGATATCCCTTTCAGCATCCAGAAAATGTAATATTTGTTTCCTGAAAGACAAAAACAACAGGATTAGTTCTTAGTATGATAGAGGCTTTCAGATGGACTTAACAGGCAGATATTCCTCATGGCTTTGATCTGGTCTGTCAGTCTAGCAACAAAGCTTCACTGAAACATGCTGCTTTCTCTTATTGAAATTTTACATTTTGTACCTTAAAACAGTTACCAAAAGCCCATCAAAGTTAGAAGTTCTAGGTGGTCACTGGCGTATCTATCACTGTGATGAACCTAATAAACAACTAAATAAGTTGCATTGGTTCCAGTAATTTGATGTATTGTACACAGTTGCCATAACTTTCACTAAACACGGTCTCTGTCATGACAGTGTTAGGCTGGGTTCACACCTGGGCGACAGGCGCGCTTTTCCGAGGGCTATCCGGCTGTATCCTAATGGATACACGCGGCAAATACGCCCCAAAGAAGCTCCTGTACTTCTTTGGGCGTAGGGCGTTTTACACCGCGTACCTACGCGCTGTAAAACGCCCAGGTGGGAACCATGCCCATAGGCAATTATTGATTTTCACATGTTGAGCGTTTTACAGCGCGTAGGAACGTGCTGTGAAACGCCCAGGTGTGAACCAGGCCTTACTGCCTCAAGTCTTGCTGTTATAGTATTTATTACTGTGATATATGAGCGCTTGCCTACCAAAAGATTTGCAATTCTGTGCATTCAGTTGTATGAATGCACCTCAGTGGTTGACAAACTGGGATACAACAAAAGGCTTAAACTACTAAATGCAAATAAAGCATTAGGACCTGATAATCTACATCCCAAGGCACTCAAGGAACTGAACAAGGAGATAACGAGGCCATTGTTCCTAATTTTTAAGGAATCCGTAATGGCTGGTAGAGTGCCAAGCGACTGGCGAAGGGCTAATGTGGTACCTATATTCAAAAAAGGGTCAAAATGCCAACCGGGGAACTATAGACCAGTTAGTCTAACATGCATAGTATGTAAACCGTTAGAGGGAATTATTAAGGACTACTTAGTGGAATTCGTCCAAGATCATGGCATAATAACTGATAATCAGCATGGATTTAGGAAGGATCGTTCTTGCCAGACCAACCTGCTGACCTTTTACGAAGAGGTGAGTAGAGATCTAGATGAAGGGAGGATGGTGGACGTAGTATATCTAGACGTCTCCAAAGCATTTGATACAGTGCCTCATAAACGCTTGTTATACAAGCTAAGGGCTATGGGCATAGATGAATTAGTGTGCACGTGGATAGAAAACTGGCTACAAGAACGTGCACAAAGAGTATCAGTAAATGGCACCTTTTCAGACTGGGCGGAGGTCATGAGTGGCGTGCCCCAGGGTTCTGTGCTGGGTCCCCTGCTTTTTAACCTATTTATTAATGATATCGGGGAGGGAGTGAATAGCCGTGTCTCAGTGTTTGCTGATGATACAAAAATTGAGAGGGTAGTAGACACAGATTTAGACATTATAACATTACAGGAGGACCTGGATAAAATCGGGGAGTGGGCAACTGTATGGCAGATGAAGTTCAATGTCAATAAATGTAAGGTAATGCACCTTGGAGTTAAAAATAGGCAAATGGGCTATACACATATGGGTATGCAACTAGGGAAGTCGGAAACCGAGAAGGATCTGGGGGTCATTATAGACCGCAGATTGAATAACAGCTCGCAGTGCCAGGCTGCTGGAAACAAAGCAAGCAGTGTTCTGTCTTGCATTAAGAAGGGAATGTATTGCAGGGACAAGTCTATAATTTTGCCACTTTACAGATCACTGGTTCGGCAACATCTGGAGAATGCAGTCCAGTTTTGGTCACCTATACTCAGAAAAGATGTCCTTGAGCTGGAAAAAGTCCATTGGAGAGCAAACAAACTCATTAAGGGGTTCGGGGACCTGAGCTATGAAACAAGGTTGTTCAAATTAAATATGTTCTCTTTGGAGGTTAGGAGATTAAGGGGGGGCATGATTTTCCTGTATAAACTATTCAAGGGTGACAGCAACATTATCAGCAAATTGTTTAGGGTTAGCTCCGTAACAAAGACCAGAGGGCACAACCAAAAATTGGTGGAAAAAAAATTTCCACACACAGGGCGCAAGGGGTTCTTTACAGTAAGAGCGGTTAAGGTCTGGAACTCGCTGCCACAGGAAGTGGCAGGGAGTTCCTCAGAGACCATAATATACAGGGGTACAGGTACGCCTAAGAGCGAAATCATACATGGACTAGTACACACACACACTCACACACCAACTCAAACATAAATACACACACAATAGGTTGGACTTGATGGACTTATGTATTTATTCAACCTCAAATACTATGTAACTATGTATGACCCATGCATCTCTATCAGACAGCACAGCCAGATTCTTGCAGGAACAGGGTAGATTTGTCAAGAAATAGCTCCAACTGCCAGCTTGCTGACTGGATAACAACAAAGCAGCAGCAGAGTGAAGTCATTCCCTTTGCTCACTCTGCTCTGTGCTCTTGTTAGCATATGTGCATGCATAACCTGATGGGGTCCTTCAGTCTTTTACGGTAACATCATAAGCTGATATGAAGACAAATTCAGGTACTTGCACTATTTGCATTTAAAAATATATTTAATGTTTTTACTAAATACATAACTGCTGCATTAAGTGGTGTTCTTCATATATACATGAAATTCAGTTTTAAGGCAGCTATATTCTCTCTTTACATAGAGACAGAGCATAGTGTTCAGGGGATATAGCTCACAGGAGGTGGTGACTTTTGCAGGATAGTATGAACTGTAGAAGAGATTTCAGCTTTGGACTGAGGTAAACTCAGTTGAATTTTTAGAATCATCTGAATTCCTTTTGTGTCTCTGATGTTGCAAGAATTTGCAAGTGCCATAAATGTCAGGTTCTTTTCTGGACTACAGCACTGACTGCAAAATGTAGTCAAAACTGATTGTTCTAAACCCATGAAGATGCAGCATCTTCTATCTCCTATGTTTGGAATTAAGGATATCTGCCGGATTTATTTACATCACCATGGTACAATTTATTTAACAGTATAAGAGTTAATACCAATAGCACGTGTGAAGGATCTTTAATTCTGGACTCATTATTGTACATTGAGAGCACTGGTAATGTTGTAGTAAAAGTGTGTTACATGTGTTGTATAAACAACCTACGTTAGTATAAACTATGGTTTATGTTCTAGAACAATAAAAATTGGGCTTAATGCTTACCTTGTGCCATTGTGCACTCACTATGTCAATGCAGAGTGTCTCTTTAGGGTGCCATAGGACATACCTGATTTTCATTGACAGTGTCTGGTTGTGTCTCCATTTAGCTATTGGTGGTTTAATATTGGATTTGATGTTGTCACGACTTCTCTCTGTTCCAGATGGGGCAGAAGAGTCATTGATTGCTAACTCCACTCTGAAAGAGAAAATAATGATTCATTAAATTAAGGTGCTCAGAATTGCTGAGAGCATTTGGGTGAAATACATAATAAAATATTTATTTTATCTCAGTTTATTTTGCATCAGCAGGTTATATGTGTTTTAAGCGTCATACAGCATGTTTTACCTTTGATTACTATACTGAGTTTATATACGTATGTGTGAACAATGGAGAATCAGTGTTTCCATATCAACAGACTTTACTAAAGACATTTAATGCTTGTCTGCTTACAATGGTCACTGCCTACTGTCTGTATTCTCATATTCTCAGAACATTTGACTTTTTCAAGTACAGCTACTTCTAGATGTTTAGTGGTGCTCAGATGTTAGGGAATTAGCTTTTTCCCCTGACATTCACAGATATACAGATATACGCATACCATACAAGTGTGCATGCCTATGACTCCAGTAGACATCCCCAGTGTCCCTCTTATATCACAGGAAAAACATTCTATAAGTTAATGGCTTAAGCTCTTTTGAGATTGGGGATAAGCACAATTGCAGGTGTTTAACAGTGACCATCAAATGATTGCAGTTACCTTAAAGCTGGATTACAGAGACACATCTACATACAAGATTGAAATGCGTACAGTATATTGAAACTCTTTAACCTGCCAAAGGATTTGTAATTATGTTAAGTCAGTCTAATGGTGTAATGCACTTTCAGTTGCTGTCTGTGCTGTCTGAAGGGGTTCCAATATATAAATCTTGGAACTCCTAACAGACAACGCAACCAGGTACTCGACCCTTACTGCAACAGTAGTACAACCATAAGTAGTATTAAACTCTCATTAAAAAAATGGGTAATTTGTTGTGTTTTGGGGCATTTAATTAAATTTGTCACTAAATTTTGGGGTTTAATAAGGAGTTGCGCTAATATTGCGCAACATAAACATTTTCAACTACCACCATTTTATTCTATATGGTCTTGGCATTCAGAAAATATATAATGTTAGGGGGTTTTACGTCATTTTCAGGCCTAAAATGTGGAATATAACATGGGTGCAAAAAATGAAAAAAGGGCCTCAGTCATGAAGGGGTTAAATAATGACCCAGATCAAACAAATATACATTGCCCAGCATTACTCTACATTTTTGCCCAAAAACTTAAAATCTTCATTTTCCTGAACAGCTGCTTTCAAGTCTCTACGCTCAGCTTCCCTGAACTTCCTGTGTAGTACAAGATCACAAAGGACAGGGCAGACTCCAGCAACTGTTCATCTGCTAGCTTGGAGAAGGGAGGAGAGGGGGCTAGAGGGGAAGGAAGTAGCTTGTTTTGCTGTGTCTGTGTGTTTGTGTAGACACAAACAGTTTATTAGCATGCACAAGGGTGACTGCATAGCACTCTGCTTGAGAAAGGAATCTCTCCAGTGCTCAGGGGACCAGCTGATTCTGCAGGAAACTAAAACTCTTAAACATCAAGGACTCGGAGCAGTACCGTATTAATTGTGAGTGACTTCCTCAACATTTAAAATAGCTTAAAATCCTTTTGACCTTAGTATCACTTTAAACCAAAGCACAGCAATAATGTTGATTGGACAGTAAATGAGTATTAGCACCTCTGTGATCATTCTCTGCCCTCACTTCCTCTCAGCATGCTCATTGTCCATTTACGTACACCGCAGGAGACCCTAACCGGCACATATTGTTGGATCTGCTTCTTCAATTCTAAGATCTACTTTGAAATAGGGCCCGTTCAGACCTGTGTGTTGTGGCAATTGTACGATACCGTGCAATTAACACGCACTATCGCACAATGCACCTGGTGTGTGTTACATTGTGGCAGGTGCTTTGCATTGCCATTCATTTGAATGACAGCCCAACACACCTCCCAACCGCAGTGGGCTACCACGTGCAGTACAACAATACTGTGCGTTGTGGTGATGTGGAAAACAGTATTGCATGCAACACAACACATAGATGTGAACAGGCCCTAAATGTGTTTTTATATCTGTCTGAAATTCAGCTTTAGGCTGAAGTCCTTGGGTGAGGTGAGCAGATTTGTGTGGTTTTATACATTTTGTAATCTTGTGGCTAACACTATGGAGCCTGTTTGGAAAGATCAATATGTAGCCTTGCAGTATAGACCTAGTTTTGCCATTAAAATGTTCAGTGATCTTAACCAGACCAGAACAACCAGATATTCGTTGAAGTAAATAAATAGTAGTTACAAAATAGACTGTTAACGTATGAGAAAAATACAGGTGTAATTGAAAAATAAGCAACCTTTGAGGCACTGCAATTGTGAAAGAGCCTGCTGCACCTCAGACTACACTGTTGTTTTCAATGGAGGTACCAACATTTTGTGGATGGGTTCCCTCGCTAGTAAGACATGGGGTTTGATTTACTAAAGGCATAGAGGCTGTTCACTTCGCGGGGGAATTTTCTCTTAGTAACAGTATTTTTGCCTGCACATATTGGATGAGCAGAGCTAAGCGAAATTCCTATTTGCCTTATGTAAATCAGCACCATGATAAAAGTATAACAGGAGTCCCACAACTGCTGGTTATCGTACAACTGAGATCCCAGCCCATGTGCCTAATTTGCCAGGAATGCAGTGTTGGAGGAAAACATGGCAGACTGTCTAGATAGACTAGTATTTGTGATCATATATCAGATTGCACAGCCCAAATAACTCATTAATATTACTGGCAAACCAGTTAAAGTAGTATTGAACTCTGAAACATGTTTTCCATAATGAATTCGGATCAAACAAATATACATTGTCCAACAAAATATTGCTTAAATTTTTGCCTAAGCATTTACAGTTATCATGGTTCTAAACAGCTCCAACTCTCTCAGCTCTGCTTCCCTGAACTTCCTGTCCAGTACAAGATCATAAGGAACAGAGAAGTCTCCAGCAACTAACCATCTACTAGCTTAGAGAAAGGAGGAAGGAGAAGGGGGAGTGGGTTGTCTTGCCTTGCTGTGTCTGTGTGTTTGTGGAGACATATACATCTTACTATCACATACAAGGGTGGCTCCATAGGACCCTGCAAGGGAAAGGAGGCACCCTAAAACAGAAAAAGTCAGGACCAGTGCTCAGGGGACCAGCTGATTTTGCAGAAAATTTTAACTTTTAAACATCACGGAGCAACAGCCATTAAAAGTGATATAATCAGCATTTGAAATAGCTTAAAAACCTTTTGGCCTTAATATTACTTTAAAGAGGAAACCCCTCCTAGCATTGCTCAGTGAACATTAAAACAGCCATATAACACATTTACCTTCTGTAACAAGGACACTCAACTGTATCCAGGAAATTCAAGCAAAACGCAGTTTATTAAGGGCAAACACAAAAAGTCTCTGTTCATCCACAGGGTAGCCTTCCCCTGTTACACAAGACAGCTTGCAGCAGCAACATAACATACAGTCCTTTGTAGCATATACAGTGCTTAGTATTGCTCAGTAGCTTTCCTCAGCTCCAAGCACACCTCGGTGATACTCACACTGCTCTACCAGCAGTGTGTCCAACAGGTCCTAGGATCACCGACCTTCCCGACCTCTCCCCCTCATGGGCACTCACACTGCTCTCTCATTAGTGCGTCCAATAGGTCCCTTGGGTCACAGACCTTTCTGACCTCTCCCAGTCTCCCCCAGCTGTTTCTCGTGCGTCCAGCACGCTCTTGTGTCCGTGTGCCTCCTGCACGCATGCATACACAACTCCAACACAACTCTCTGAGCACTGGGCTGGCTTCCTAATAAGGCTGCTCTCAGCCACCTGATCCAGCTATACTGGACATTGGCAACACCTGGCCCCAGGACTGGAGATCTCATCCCACCCAGAGCTCTAAAGGTGGCCATACACTGTACAACCATTGCAAGACCTTACGATCTGCCCATCTTGGACAGGCAGATCGCACTCTCGATCATCGCAAGCCCGCCCCCCTGAGGGGCGAGCTTCCGATGACCGCAATGCTGAACGGGCAGTGTGCGCGTGCGCACACCGGCCGGTTCGGCATTTGTCTCCCGAGCACTGTTCAAACCAGCCGAAAATCGTACGATTCTCGGCTGGTTTTCTAACATGCTCCTTAGACAAAAAAACGTGCGACCGTACAGTAGAAATGGTCGCACGTCTTCGTTCACACTGTTCGATTCTCGTACGATCGCGGGATTTCCCACGATTCTCGTACGAGAATCGAGCAGTGTATGGGCACCTTTAGAGATCTCCAGAGCTCCAGATCCCAGCTACAATTAGGAAAACCTGGAAGAACCTGAAAAGCCAGGCTCTTCCTTATAACATGGTTCACATTCTGGACCCTCTCAGCCCCTTTGACTGAGAGTCCTGGGTGCCAAAGTCACATAGTATTTGAGGTTGAATAAAGACATTAGTCCATCAAGTCCAACCTATTAGGATCTCATTCTAGGAGTACCCGTACCCCTGTATATCGCCATACTACACAGTGGCATTGCCATGCACTGCCACACTTCATAAATGGCAATAGCCAGGAGTTTTTCCAATGTTTATTACTTGGCAACTAGAGTGGAGACAGAAGTAAAAAAAATGGTGCTATACCTGTATTAAGGTGCATGTGTTACCGTATTTTTCGCTCCATAAGACGCACTTTTTTCCCCCCAAAAGGAGGGGGAAAAAGTGCCTGCGTCTTATGGAGCGAATTCCGACGCCCGAGACATGCAGTTTCGGGCGCCGGGCGAGTAGTAGGAGCCACTGCTCGTTTAATACGAGTGATCTAACGAGATCACTCGTATTAAAGCCGAGCAGCGGCGGCGGCGATCGAGTTCAGCAGCAGGAGCCACTGCTCGTTTAATACGAGTGATCTAATGAGATCACTCGTATTAAAACCGAGCAGCGGCGACGATCGAGATAACCATAGAGCAGACGAAGAATAGACGTTCTTCGCCTGCTCTGTGTCATCACTGAGACCGTGGCGCTGTAATCACAGCGCCACCTGTCTCAGCGGTCACTAACTGCAGCTTCTGTGACAGCTTCTGTCATAGAAGCTGTCACAGAAGCTA